ATGTATTACGTGTTAATGATGGGAAAAGGCACAGTTAACGGAAGAAGGAGCAGATCTTCGGGATCTTCGTTTTAGTTTTATTCGATCATTTTTGTGGACAACTATGTACATATGTATGTACATACATATGGAGCGTTTCGAAAAGATGCTAGAAGCCGATCAATTTGCTCACCGTTGTGTGCTAAAATGGGGTAAATAAATTTTAACACAAGTCTTTGCATTTATTAAAGAAAGCTCTAGCTTTTGCGTTTCACCGTTTAATATTGCAGTAGATAACAGCTCGTGATCGTTTCGTGCTGAAATATCTACTTTGAAAGCAATTCACCATGCAAATTGTCAACAGGGCATACCATACATATGTACATACATACATATGTGTGTATGCATTTGCCCTCCATCTTCTCTCTCTTTCTTTCTGCCACATTTTTGTTTGACTGCAACAGGTGAAAAAAACAACAATCACAGCAAATTTGTCGTAATGAATACAAGTTTTTAGATATATACATATGCATGCATGTACATACATATGTGTATTTATGTTTATATGCATACATACATATACATACATATACAGACAGACATATTCGACTAATAGTTTCTAATTAGTTTCGGCTAGCTGTTGTTACTCTATTGACTCGTATCTCGATTTGCGTTGTCTGCATCCGCCGATTGCTTGGCATGCAACTATAACAACTGTAACAACAACAACTGTAACAACAACAACTGTAGCAACAACAACTGTAACAACAACAACTGCAACAACAACAACTGTAACGACAACAACAATCGCTGGCGCACACTTTTCCATATGATTAAGTGCAATGTTTTCGTTATTGCTGGCACTCACATGATTCGTATTCGTTTTCGTTTTCACACTTTCAAAAGTTGCATTTGGCATTTGCATAACCAGCACGAAAGGGAAGATAAACAGAGAGCGAAAGAACGAGAGAGAATGCGCGCCAAAGAAGACAAGAGACCAGTGGGAATGGGAATTGCCAACTACTGCCGCTGTCTGACAGAGTTGCCAACTTTGCAATATGAAACAACAACAGTATTTATGAATGCGAGTTGAGCGGACTGGAAAAAATACGTTTACGTAATGTTTATTAATTTAGAATATAAGATTTGTACGTACGAAAACCCAATTCAGTATTGGTTAAAACCCAGAATAGGCCCACAACTTAAAAACTTGGCAGAAAAAAATGTGAAAAACCGAAAACTCTATTTGGAAGCATTACATATTTCTCCAAAACCAAATAACCTTCCAAGAAGCTAGATCTGCAGAAAACAACACGATAATCGGCAAGGGATATGTGACGTTTTACAAATACCCTGTAATTAGCTTTATAAAAAAAATACCCGACCTAAAATATCAATTATAGGGTGGGTATTTGGTATCGCATTAACGCCCATAGTTACTGTGAGTGGGCGTGCCTGTCGCTTTGTCGCCCTTTGCCAGCCCACTCGAATCTGCAATTTCTATTCTCCCTTTTTCTAACTTTTCCTCTCATTCTTCTCTCTCTCTCTCTCTCTCTCTCTCTCTCTCTCTCCTCTCTGTCTCTGCAGTGCTTTGCCATCTGCTCTTCTCTAGCGATTTTTAATTGCGTATTTTGTTTTCATTCTATGCTCAGTAAAAATAAGAAAATGCCCAAGAAATATAACTATACTGCTCTTTAAATATAGATATTTATTTTTACATTTTTTTGCTTTCTTTCTTTTTATTGCCGCACAAAAACAAAGTGCGAAACAAACACAAAGCATATTTGCTAAATTGACGCTAAATTAACTCAAGATCGCCACACATAACAAAAAACGAAAAAAAAAAAAAAAGAAGAAAAACCAAATGTCAAAGTATTTGCTGATAAATAGTTTCTTCGGACTGTCCGGGGACTGACGCAGGCGACCAGACAAGGATTATACACACATACATACATACATATGTTCGCGCGCACACACACACAGATATGTAAGCACATATACTATGCTCTCGAGATGGATTATATACATATACACTTATAAGAATACGATCATACGTATTTAGGTTCAGACAGGCAGATATTTGGTTTATTAGGGATATATTTGAACATGTTTTAATACCGTGTGTTCATAAACGAAAAGTCGAGCATTATCAAGCAGTCCAGAAGCTATACAAATATCGATTTCTCTGATGCATACGCGTGAGTACCTCCATCTTTTCAGGTGTTTCGGACAGGGCATCCGCTAGTCGAGCATTCTTTACCACACCACTCGAACTGGCTAACGTTTATCGAGCTTAATTCTATTTTGCATACTTGTGAGTAGTCCCATCTTTTGAGGTATTTCGGGCAGGGCATCCGTTAGTCGAGCATTCTCTACCTCACCACTCGAACTGGCTAACATTTATCAGATGCATTCGTGTGAGTACCTCCATCTTTTCATGTGTTTCGGACAGGGCATCCGCTAGTCGAGCATTCTTGACCACACCACTCGAACTGGGTAAAGTTCATCGAGCACAAAAAGAATCTGATAACGCTTTTTAATGGCTAATTCCCCAGAAGCCATTATCAATATCTGCCTTCCACATCAAGTATACGACGCGTATTTCACGTGAACATTTACTCAATTCGTAACTCTCGCATCAATCTGGCTATGATCTAGCTGTCTTATTCTTTACCTGTCAACCTGTAAAAACTTGCAACTTCATTAACCGTTTGTTTTATTATCTTTTCGCTGGTTTGCAACCGCATCCACCTGAATTATAGCTAAAACATTCGAATAAAACAAAATAAAATAAATAATAAGTAAAAATGTCGCCAACAAACTGTGTGCTGACTCTCGAACGGGTCACAAGTTTGGCCCCAAGTAAAACTAGTCGTGCCTCAACATCCACATCCAAGTGGAATTCGTCGTATTAAAATTTGCATTTGAATTTTTATTGCGTTGATATTTAAATGATTCCACAGGCCTTTGAAACGTGAGCTGGGCAATGCATTCTATATACATACATACGTACATACATATATGTATGTATATGTACATATGTGTGTAAATATATATAACAGCACAATCCAGAACTGGGGATTGGGTCTGTCAGTCTGGGTCAGGGAATTTACATGTGGCTGGCAATTCTGAAAACAACTTTCGCGGAACTTGCGAAAGTTCCCAACTCGCCTTCCCCTTCCGCCAAGCAATTGTATCGACACGACTGCAAACCCAAATGAAACCTCAAATATTTTCATTAGAAAACAAGAAAGTGCGAGTGCCTGAAGCACGCCGCAGATTAAATATCCTTGCGCATATTTGATGCAAAAAGATCAGGTCCAAATGAATCTGTTCTATGAGAGCCATGGTTATATTGTAGCACGATCTGTTATGGCTTTGCAGATATGTTGGAGGAATAGTAAAGCACGTAAATGCTGAGATTGGAGATATGTACATATCTATATCGAGATATCTCGACATGATCTTTGAGCAATCGTTCCTATAGCATCTATACGATATGCTAGTTCGATTTGTTTGGCAGGCATGGCTATATATGTTAATACTGATCGACAATTGATATACTCTATAAGGTCTTCTACTATGCGTTGCACAGTCCGTGACATAGGATAGAATACACTCTGTAAGGGTATTAACACAACAAATATCAAGAAATCAAACAACAATAAATCAATCTATTTGAACAGCGTCTCGTAATAAATGTTCTTGGTTTGATGACAGACCGGGCGGGGGTTACGTCCGGAACTTGTTGAGCGTTCTAAGCAAGCGTCACTGCCATTCCCGCCGTCCCCCCGCTACCCCGAAAGACTCCATGCCGCTGCAAAGTCAATTCGATCGATGTATGTATGTATGTCGAGCTTTAACTGGCTGCAATTCAAATGCGTCGAACGCTACGAATTAATTTGGGCCAGACTCGACTTGTGACTAAGCCGACATTGATGGTGTTTAATTTTCTATATATATGCGTGTATATATGTATATGTATGTATGCTGCACTAATAACGCTATTGTTGTTGTTGCTGTTCCTGTCAATTGGTATCGATGAAGCGGAATGGAACGAGATGAAGCTCATCAATTGACAATGCCCTCTTCTATAGAAATTCTGTTCTGGGCAATTTGATGCGCAAAACCGGCCAATGAGACTTACATAACAATACAGGGTTGCATCATGTGATCTTCACGTGACCTTGTCGCCTTCCAGCTGGCAAATCGTTGTAGACGGCTTGCAAGACATGTCCTCAACAAGCTGCCGACTACGTGGCAAGAGCAGAAGGCAGGCTTCCAGACGTCTACTTCTAGCGCTCTTTTGTTGCACCCAAACCTATGACGCTGTGCAAGACACGTCATTGAACATGTCTGCGAAAAAGACACAAATGTTTTCGTTTGCTTGTTTCTTGGCTTTTTCTTTGAATCGTTTTTATTGTTTTTTTTGTTTCGAAATCATTTCATATTGTTTGTTCGGTTGTTTCATCAGCTGTTCTTTCTTCTCGGCTTAATTCTGTCAGCTGATACACTCTGTGCCTCTGTGTGTGCGTGTGCGTGTGTGTGTGTGAGAGTGTAGCTTAACATAAACCTCTATTTAGCTACAGTTTTAGCTTGAACTGGATATCAGCCTGCGCCGCACTTTGGATTAAGTTTCTATCTGATTTTCCTTGATTTTTAATTTGTCATGGCTTAGTTTTGTCTTTACCTTTTTTTTTATGAAAAATAGTAACACTTTTTAGTATTTGTTTAGGCTTAAGTTTTTTTTTTTTTTGTTGATTTGGTTTCTTTTTCTTAACAAACAGAGTGTTTTATTTTATTTTTTGTTTGCTTGGCTAAGTTTATTAAAAATACATGGCAAAAAAATTTGGTTATATTCCTTGATTTTTTTTTTCAAATATATTTCTTTTCAACATGCAATGCGTCGCCTGCGCGCAGTTGCCAAAAACACGCCTTAAAATACCAACAGAATGTGGAGAAATAACCGAAAAATACCAAAAAAAACCAACTAAGAATATTGAAAATCAAACCAAAATAAATTTACGCTTGCAGCTAGCAGGAAAATGATCAAATGTGTTCATATTTTATTTGTGTTTCTTTCTTTTTTTTTGTCGTTTTCATTCTCTCTTCGTAAACATACATATGTAAGGTTGTCTTGTATATATAGGACTCTTTATGGGGGACCTGTTCTCTTCGTGAATAACATTTAAAACTACATAATAATTAAGCACTAAACTAGGCATATAGCTCGCATCTGCATATATATGTGCACTGTATGTATGTATGTGTGTATGTATATATGCATATGTTTGTATATAGAAACAATATAAAACAATTGTTTAGCTGCTTAAAAGTTAATAACAAAAAAAAAAAATACATATGTATATATATCTAAACAAAGCAAAAAATACATCATTATAATCAATATAGTGGCTAATAAGCTGTATTATCATATAACAACGCTTCACAATATATAATATAAACATTTTACAATTACAAAACACATTCCTTTCTGTGTTTTCGATTTTTTAGTTGTTTTTTTGTTTTTTTTTTGCTGTTTATTTTCCTTTTTTGTTTTTAGTATTTTCATTAACAATGTGCGATTTTGTAGTTTCGAATTTGTCTTGTCCTGGATTAGGATATGATGATGCTTGTAGCACAGTATAACACTTTTGGCGGCGCATGAAAGCGCGCTACACGATTTGCCTGTTTTCTTCATTCCTTCTTGTTCATCTGATTCGTTTCTCTTCAGCGCTTTAATTATGTGAATTTTGACAAATCGCAATCGAAAAATTCATTTAACTTATTTGCCGTTTTAATAAGAAATTGCTTGATATATTAAATCATATATCTTATATGTATGAATATGCGTAAGTGTATGTGTGTGGGTGTGGGTGTGTGTGGGTGTGCGTGTGTAAAATATATTAACAATTGTTTTTCTTTTTTTCTTACAAAATCGAGAATAGATAATTTAACCAAATAAATTAGACATACAAATAATTTATTTAATTAAGAGATAGATATAGAAAGAGATAGATTATAAAACGAAAATAATGAAACAAGGGAAAAGAAAAGAAACAATTGCTGAAGCATACACATTCCATTATGTTGTTTTTTTTTTGCTGAACTTTTTTCTAAGATCTTGCCTAATTTAAATACTAAGAAGCGCCCCGCGTTGGCGCTACTTGGCGACAGCGAGTGGCGCCTCCGCAGCGGCGACAAAAGGAAACTAACTCATTTTCGCCTTAAGAATTTTCGAATTCGAACCTTGTTTGAATTCGAATCGAATTGATTGGGTTTGCTTAGTTAGCAACTGCGACGCTGATTCCGATTACGATAACGATAACGATTACAATTACGATTGCGATTTCGATTGCGTTTGCCAATCGTTTACTTGCTATTGAGTATATCCTCTCGACAGGCAACGGCCGCAACCAGCGCCGCGCCGCGCCCGGACCCATCCTCGGAGAGCATCAGATCAAAGCTGATGCCGGGCTTGATCAACTGCGTTATCTTCTCAACCATCAGATTATGGAACTTGGGATGGAAACGATAGACGCTGCCATCAACGCCGACCGTCACATGGGGCTCATCCATCTTGTTGATCAGCGTGGCAATGCCCGCCGAGACGAGATGTGCGGCACGCTTCGAGACGCACTCGCAAATGTAGCGCACATTGGCGCAATCGCCATCGGTGGCATTGGAGAGGCCCAGCTCCTCCAATACCAGGCGGCAGTTGGTGAATGTGCCTGGCTCATCGGCCTCGATCTCGCTCACGTATTTGGTGAAGAAGAGGCCGCGCGTGAACAGCACCTCCGAGCCTTGGCCATTGAAGAGTATGCCAGCCTGGGTCATCTTGGCCAGAACCAGGCGCACCAGCTCGCCCATATACATGCCCGAGATCATTTTCTCGAACGTCTGCTTGCCCGGATTGATGCTGTGGCTATCGATGTCCTTGTCGAATTCGGTGCGCACAAAGTCGAGTGCACCATTATCACCGAATGCTCCCCACTCCGTGTTGATGAGGACATGCGGCTTGCGATTATCGTGCATATCAAACAGCTCGGCGTGCTCAACCTTCTCCACATAGCAGGCATTGGAGCCGGTGCCGACAATCAGGCCGATCTTGCAATTGTGATTCTTCCAGGCGCAGCTCATTAGGGTGCCCGTCGTGTCGTTGAGTATGGCACAGACATCGATCTGTACATCGCCGCGTCGCGCGATCGCATCCTTGAGCAGCTGGACAACATCCTCATTGACAACGCCGGCACAGTCGAAGCCCTTCGTCCATGTCTCGAGCAGGCCCTTGGTCAGGCCCAGCTGGCGCAACGGAAACGAGAAGGTGAAACCGAGTGGCAAACGCTCCGAATACACATTATGCTCGGCCATAAAATTGGATAGACATTCGGCAATATGATCGAACAGCTGCAGTCCGGATCCGATCATAATGTGCTGCGGTATCGCATAGATGCGCGACTCCATTTGGAAGTCATTGTTCTCCTGCAGGTGGATGAGCAGCACACGGAAATTGGTGCCGCCCAGATCGAGGGCCAGGAACTTGCCGCGCTCGTTGCCATTGGGCAGATCCTGTACGTACGTAACGAAGCACTTGACATTCGCCTTCGGATGCGTATCCTTGGCCAGGCCACGCCTCACCTCGTGCAAGATGCGATAGCAGAGCTCCTGCACCTGCTCATCGGATAGCAACAGCTGCTGACATAACTCGTGCACCATTTTCTTTTTATCCGCTGCACTCGCACCAGCTGCTGATGTTTGTATTTGAATTGCATTTGCATTTGCGCTCGCGTTCGCGTTCGCTGTCGCCGCAGTCGGCGACGCGTTCGCTGCATTTGTCGCTTTACTCGTTGCGCTGCTGCTGCTGAGGCTGAAGCTGCTGCTGCCACCGAGAACTCTCACATTGTCCGTCTCATCGTTGCCTTTGCAGCCGTTATGGCCATTCAAATTTGTGGCTAGTCCGTTGCTATTTATAGAAACGCTGCGCATCGCGCCATTCAGCTGCTCTTGGTCCATGTCGTTGCAGTTGCAGTTGCAGTTGCTGTTATAATTTGCACTTGCAGTTTCTTTAGTTTGGCAGTCGCCGACAGGCAGTCACAGGCACTGGCACCCAAAAAAAAAATAAATATAATTTGTTACAGCAACTTGTTTTTTATTTTTTGCTCACGCGCGTTTCGCTCGCGTTTTTTTTTTTTTTTGTCTTTTGCCGCCTCGTTTGTTAGTTTTGTGCGAGTTTATTGTCTTTTACCTTTGTTTGCTTTGTATTTTATTTTTATTTTTTGCCGATTTTCGCTTTTAGTTGACTTTGCGTTGCTTCTTTTCTCATATACTATTTGCTTTTGTCTCGGCCGTTTTATTTTTGTCCGCTGCACGCGTCCGCTGCTGTGAAACGTTTGTTACGGAATTATTCTCCGTGGAGCTTCGCCAGTTGCTTGACTCTGACGCTGCCGACGCGGAGCGCGCGCTGCCGCCGTCAACGTCAGCGTCTGTGCGTTGCTTGCATGTGTGCGTGTGTGTGTCGTAGTGTACGTAGTGTACTTTGAAGGAACCTTGAAGGTCAAAATTGAAAAATCGTATTGGAGAGGGCGGCAGTTTCTGCTGGGCCTGCGTTCAAGATACAATATAATGTACATTAGTGTGCATATCGAAAGAGAGGCAGAGAGCGAGAGTTAGCGCCAATCGCATAAAAATAGAGAGCGAGAGAGCACATGTAGTGATTACGCGCCTCATGAATGGCTGTTGTACGTAGTAGGGGCGGGTAGCGACGCGGGCAGAAGCAGCAGCGTCACCACTGCTCTCACGGGCCAACATTGCTTAAGAGCGGGAGACGGTGAGACGAGAGAGCGGTCAGGTGTGCGTTGAGTGTTGCCACTGCCTTTTTGCCATCGTCAGCAAACCATTGCACACTACACATGCGGCTTATCAGGAAACCCCGAAATACTCAAAGCATAAAATATGAGCAGCCTGCCCTCTCGCAGCTTCATATGCACATGCATATGTTCGTACATATGTATGTATGTATAACACATTCCGCAACAATTGCAAACAAGGGAGAACAATTTAAGCAATCACTCACAATGCAGGTTATTTAAATGTCGCTATAGACCGGTCGCTTTTCAAATCTTTCAGTGACTGTGGATATTTTCTGTTGGGTTTTCTGCTACTGCTGTTGGCGTATAACAGTTTATGCTCAGTTTACATATGGGGAACAAGTTTGCATAGCTGTCGCTGCCGTCCACACCAGGCTCTCTTTGTTTTCTCCTTGAGTGTATATTAATGTACATATGTACATACATACATGCATGCATACGTACGTAGTAAAGTGTATGTTCAGTATGGAATTTTCTGATGATGGTCGCTGCCTGCTTTTGGCGTTCGTGGGGCTCGTCTCGCATTTTGTTGTTGGTGCTAGCCTCACCCGCCACTGCATATACATATGTATGTACATATGATTGTATGCACACATACGTATGTGTGTATGCACATATACGTATACATATATACACATGCATGGTGTGAATATATGTAGGTGTATTTTACGTGCCGTCGTCGACGTGCGCGTTTCAACAACTGTTAAACGCATCGCCTGACCGACTATGTGCTTGTATTTGCAACTCCAGCCAACGCTTCTCTCCCTGGCTTCCGTTCTCAGCAAACATTTTTCTCTCCACACGCGCCAACCTCTCGACGCTCACGCCGTCGTTCGTTCACTCACCCAGTTCTAAGGAAATTTTTATACTCATTATACTTATTATTGGTTTGTTGCTCTTTGATTTCATAGACTCGTGTATGACACATTTGTACTTACCTAAAACACATGCACATATGAATGCATATGTATGAATTATACATGCATAAAAATATGCATGACTATGTGTTGGTGCTGTTGTTGTTGTCCAAAGAGGCTCGTCTGTCCTCAGTTGCTTTTTGCTATTGCATCTGCCGCCACCCGTATTTCGCCATTTCTTTGTCATGGAATGCAGCAACAGCAATGACGCGGATGCCTTGTGATCATGTGAGCCGCGCCTTCGGAGGTCGCCTGTGTTGCATGCGGAATTGCACATGCACACACATGTATACATGTACATATGTATGCACGCATGTGAATATTTGTATATACATATGCATACATACATATGTACATACATATATGCATGTGCTTATGTTGCATTGGACCAAACCGAATTTGAAAAGAATACGTTTGTATGTACATACATACATAACAATATTTAGAAGGTGCACAAAGGTCATAAACAAGAAGAAATCTTATCACTTAAGATTTGTTAATTAAAAGGCTTAGAAATACAAGGGAACGGAAAATTTTATTTTAAGAGCTAGCAGCTTAACTATTGCCACGATATAGAGAACCAAGAGCTCGGTATATGTATGTACTATGTAACTCTCCTGTTGCTGCTGCGAACACAACCAGCAAAATTTTTGAAATGTTTATCTTTTCAAATACAAATACAACTGGTTTGCTCTTATCTGGCTAACGGAAATTGCTTAGAAAAAATGAAAAACAAAACGCAAGCGCTGCCGTTTTATTAGTGGGCGTCATCTCCGACTATACAGGGGCTGGGCAGGCCTACGTTGCCAACGTAGGGCAAGTAGGGTCAAATATTAATGTAATTTCTTTGTTTAGGGACGTGCACGAGATGATAGCGCCAAGCACATACATACAAACACATATACATATGTACATATGCTAAGCATTCTAATCATTTATTTGTATGTGTGTATGTGTGAAACAGATCCACCCCCGCGCCATGTGTGTGCCTATGCAATGATTCAGCTTTTCAGATTCTGATATAAAAGAAGAGAGCAGCGACTGCGACGCTCTTGAGTGCAAGTTGAGTGCAGAAATGCAGCTTTAACGGTTATTTGAAAAAGTGACGAAACCCTGTTTCTGTTCAAAAAACCAGTTCGAGAGTCGAGTGGATATTGAATGCCTAGCCTAAAGGAAAGCCTTGAATGCCTTGCGAGCCAGTAAAGGGAACGCAGCCAAAAAAATCAAGAGTTCCGCGAACCACTTAAAATCCGACGTAGAAGTCTAAAATTAGAGTTGTTTTTCCTTGTTGATTTCAATATTGCGACGTCAGCTTACAACGCGCTGCAGCAGCGGCCGCACTGCTATGCGTATAGTTATTTGTTGTCCGCATTTGGGAATCCAGATTTGGGGGCTCGCCCCGTTATATACACACATACATACACATATATATGTACATGTACCTACATACACGCATTTGTACTAGTTTTGTGTAGAGTTTGGTCGCGCTGCTTTGCGCTTGCTCATCGCCGACGCTTGCTTGTGTGTGTGTGTGTGTGTGTGTGTGAGTGGTGTACATACAGAATAATTGATTTTTGTATCGTGCGCGCTCTCTTGTTTTTGTGGTTTGGGGCCACGCGCGGAGCCTTCTGTGACGTCAATGATGATGACGTCGAAAGTGCCGAGTTTTGTGAAACTCGCACAGCAGCTCGCACAATCCAGGGGTCAATGCAGCGGCAGCTTACGGAATTTTTTGAACATTGCGTATACGCCTGTTGGCGCATTGGCCAAAAGGCCTTCGATCTCAACGCAAAAGACATTAATTATAATATTCAGATTTTTGGCAACTTAAAATGATTTCACGTGACGCTGCTGCGGCTATCGCCCACGCAGCCAGCGTCGAGCCGCAAAAAATGGTTAAAATAAAAAACACTGCCAGGCCACAAGAATAATCATTAACAAATAAAAAAAAAAGCAAAAAGCCACGAACAACACAGGGAACTATCAGAAATTTTAGAATTATATACATACATACATACATATGTACATATACATATGTATATACATAATACAGTTCCATGGACCGTGCAAAACGGTAAATACAGCCTTGAATACGCATTTCGCTAATTTCTGACTATAATGATAAATGGGCGTGGCCATATTATTTTCACTGATTAGTATTACGATAAGCTACTCATCATTTTGGCAAAACCAGTTGCCGGGCACTTGCGCTTGACAGCACATGTGTATATGTACATACATATGTATGTACAAGAATTTGTCGGCTTATCGCCCCAAACTCCGATTGCATCAGCCTTTAAACTTCAGCAAGGTCAAATGCACGCGTGCGTATAACAGTAACAGTTTTGCGATGAGGCACCAGCTGTGCCCTTCAGCCCACAAAGCCACCATCAAATAATAGCGTGAATATTAATCTAAAAACAAAAAGAGAGGAAACCCGTTTAGCATGCGATATCTCTGATATGTCTCTATGAACCACAATCAAACATATGAACATACATACATATGTATAACAGAAACTGGTTGGTTCACATTTTTTGAAAAGCAGCCAGCACTTAAAACATGCCTTGTTCAAATACACATATGTATGTACTTATACATAATTATATGCCACACATAATCAGAGTATTCAAACCGCATGACAGCCGCCTTGGAAAGACTTCAATTTCGACGGCACGTTTCGGGCACATGTGAGTCGACTTAGTCGCCAGGCTTGGCAAGACCGTGAACTGCCGGGTCAGACATGTGATTAAAAAGCCGCGGAGGCCACTTTACGGGCAACAAAGTCTCCAAGTACATATCTGCATGTGTATATGTATGCACCTCCCTACATATGTTGTTGTGCTCAAAACAATAATTAAATTTAGAGCATAGCACTAGTAACAGTCATTTAATAATTAAATCCATTGTAAATTTTAAAATCAAATCAAATTTTAAATGTCGCAACGACTTAAATACTGCCAGACATATTTAATTTGTTCAGCTGTTGCAGTGTGGCAACGTGCTAACACGAACTATCGAGCTATCGACGATAGGTATGTCATCGATATAATTTATTTGCCCAACACTGTTTAGCTAGTTAGCCAGCACTTCAGTTTGCTGGCAACGCAAAAAAGAATCGGTAGAGCGGGACGTACTGGTTGTTGTTTTTTTTTTGCGCCACACACCAAAGCCACCAGCCTAAGAAAAGTTAGACAATAATATTTTGCAAAAGTGTGATTAGCAAGTGAATGTACGTGTGAGCAATGACAACGTCCTCAATTAAACGACGTCGCTCTCCGCACGATGCAAGCGCATCGAACGATGGGGATGGCCTGGAAAATGACAACGACAACAACAGCAGCACTCGAAGTAGCAGAAGCAGAAGTAGCAGCAGCGGCAGCAGCGCGTTGCCCAACAATAGCATCAGCAGCAACATGTCCAAGCGCGACTCCGAGGAGGACACCTGGGCATCAAAGGGGTACAGCTATATCAATCCGTTCGTGCATCGCATAGAAATCGACAGTCACATTGAGGTGGCCAAGGTGAGCTTTCCGTTTCACCCGTTTTCCCGCATTCCCACCCGCACCCAGATCCCAATGCCTTCATTCATGCAAAACAGTTCAAACACAGCTGACGTCTCGCTGCGTGGGACGTGGATGAGATCCAATCAAGAGGGCAGTTTGAGGGGCGCAAAACCAACGGGCGTTCTGAATAGCTATTGATATTGTTATTATTATTGTTGTTGTTGTTTTTGTGCAGAGACCCACACACCCGCAGATATTTTAAGTGCAACGCTCTATATACACACATACACATACACACTTACACTTGCATATGTATGCCTCATTGCACTTGACCAACTTGAGCCATCGAGGATGTCGATAACAACACGTTTTGCATTATCGATATTCCTTTGTACAGGGCCATAGTTTCGCGATGCCGGCGCCAACGTCGCTGTTTACGTCAGCGCCGAAAGCGCCGCAGCAAATTAGCTGTGAAGAAACAAAAGCAGCGAAAATCGTACGATTTTCTTGTTGTCGTCTTTTTGCTGCTGATGTTGTTGTCGTTGCTGTTGTTGTTTTTGTTGCTTTTGTTGCTTTTGCTTTCGTTGCCGGTTCTTTGGGGCGTTCGCTGCCATTTCGTTGTAGCCGTTACTTGATGTTGTTGTTCTTGCCAAAGCACACCTTGTGCTTCTGCCTGATTAGAGATGGGTACGTGTCTCATTTTCCCGATAAGTACCACAAATAGATTCACATGTCTATTCTTCAGACTTGAAAAATGATCAATTTCATTTTATTTTTGGCTGTTGGTTGACCGGAAGTGAAAAAGTTCTTTTCCTGGTAGCAGAGCTAATAAAAATATGCAACTGTTTTTTTCGCAAGCAAAAGCTCGGACAAAAGTTTTAGCTTCATTTTCATGAACATGTACTCATCCATTTTACATGAGGTGCTTTAAAAATCAGTTTGAAGCCATGAAAAAAAAACCAATAGCTTACCGATTATCTTAAAACGCAGAAACACGTATTCGTTAGCTTTGTATGTAGGACTTTGTAAATAATTTAAAAGCCGGCTGGGCGAAAAGCTTCGCCTGATTACCTGTCAGTCAATCAACCAATCAATCAGTCTGTCTATACATATATATTTATAGATGTTAGTTTGTAAACATATATAAAACTGATTTGCATTTTCTTTGCTCTCCAGTCTCTAATTTTAATAGACGAAAACGTTTTTCGCACGTTTCCCGTTGCTATAATTGTTATCGTCCGACCAATTACACGCCCACCCCTCCACTTTCCACCTTAGCCAGGTCCACTCTATTATCTCTAGTTGCTAATCGTAACATGACATTTGAATAAACAGAAAAAAAAATACCCTGTTTATTCTACAGTTCAGTTTGCATAAGAGGAGCGGGGGATTCACATTGGTCACAGATGAAATCACTATTGCGAATTTATAATACGCTTCGGTGGCTTGTGGTGTCATAAATGATTGGTTCAATATAATTAAACACATGATAGTTGCGATATTTTAAAAGTTGTAGGCTACAAGAGATTGAGAGTTAATCATATTAAATACATCGATATTTCTTATATATATTTTTGAAGAAAGTATCGGCTATAATGAATTGAACCTTTTCTGCCTCACAATAAAACATTTTTGACAGATTCTCATCCCAAAAGTAAAAAGAACTTTGGTCCCAATGATTACATTTATCTAACCATGTGGGGCCTAAATCGAATCTAGCCCGCATCTTGTAAGCGTAAATATTTAAGGTTTGCAATAGTTTCGGTACAACGGGCAATTCTATTAAAAACTTCAATTGTTTCATTGTGATTTTAAAAATAATATACCATGAGCTGTATTGGGAAATGAAGCTTGACCAATCGAACCGAACCGAAGGCAGTTAATTGGCTCGCATAATATAAGATACTTCCGACACTGTATATTTAAAATACAAATATATACTACAGTTTAGACGTTTGTTCTGTTGAACTATCTGCCATATATACATACGTATACAAAAACAATATCAGCACACCCGATCGTAATGCTTATCTCTGAATATGTCATAGTCTAAAGTACATGTTCGTTGAGACAGTTTTTAGTATGACACACTCTAATTTGGCAATAATTTAGACAAATTAGTGGATATTCGAAATACTAAAGCGACCTCTAAGGCATTTAACCTGACCCACGAATATATATTAAAAAAATATAATTATAAATACGTTTGCATATTGGCGCATTTAGTTCATCTTCCGTAGAAACGAGTTATAGCTCGTTCCACTTGCCTTGATTGTTAAATCAAGGTCGAGGAGGCACTCACACTATTCGAGTCGTGCTCTGTTAATGACATGCTTATTTATACACTCACACACTTGCAGAACTGCATATACACATATACTTATGTATTGGCATTAATTTGGGCAAGTTGCCGACTTCACATATCTCTATCTTGGCACTCATTCGCGACCCTAAAAAGACAACAGCAAAAATGCGCAGAAACTTACTTCGCAATTGTTTTCATACCCTAAAACCATTGAAAATGGGTAAAAAGGGTACTATGTATTTGTGCAAATGTATGTAACAGGCAGAAGGAAGCATCTCCGACCCCATAAAGTATATATATAATCTTGATCAGCATCAACAGCCGAGTCGATCTAGTCGATCCATGTCCGTCTGTCCGTATGTATGAACGCAAGGATCTCAGAACCTATAAGAGCTAGAGACTTGAGTTATAGCCTCTGCCCACTGAACACATTTCTGAAAATGTCACATTTTTGCAAGATGTGTAAAATGCGGCCTGTACGTTTCCCCATAAGAAAACACATTTCACAAAGCTTCTTTTTAAAATGATTTCCAGATATCATTTTGCGATCAGAATTTTACATCCCGCCAACTATATATGCCACTTATCTGGCACGATCTTTAATTCTCAGAAGTACATAAAAGAAATGCAGAAGAAATGTTGAACTGTTCAACAATACACAGAAATATGTAGCACAATTTCCAAGCCATTTTTCATTTCGGCTCGTTCTTACGTTCCAATCAGTTTTATTTAAGGTCAGTCTTTGAATTTTGTATATGTCATTAAAATTAAAAGCCATGAATAAGAACTGAAACTTAATAAAATTTAACCACAAATAAGGCAGACGACAAAATCAATTTTTAAATGTTCTCATTTCTAGTCTTTTCACATAAAAGTCAAAATATTAGCAATATATGAAAGAACTGTTGAATTTTTAGGAAATAACAAGCATACAAACATGTGTAAACAAATTATAAATTGACCCAAATTGATCACTTATTGAAGGAACCATAAGCCCATCGACCAGGCAGGTCGATTAGATATGTTCAAAATCCGGAACCCGCACTTCCAGGAACTGTCAACGTGCAGACTTAAGTGTAAACAGAACCGAATATTGACCTTTAGCATACACGTCACATGGTGGCAAAAAGCCATTTAATTTCATTTAAGATTGTTTGAGTTCCATTTCGGTTTTTTTTTATTTATTTTTTTATAAACATTGGCTGGCTGGCTGGCTGGTTTGTGCCATTGCCATTTCAAAGTTCAGAAAGTATTGCCGAACCTTATTGTACTTTGCTACGCTACACTACGCAGCCTGATAAGCGAACGGAAAGCGAACGTTGTTTGGAAACGCTCTAATCACTGTTATCTATTCCAGATCTATGTGCTGACTGTGCTGCTGCTTCCCATACGCGTGGTGAGCTGCATCTTATCGCTGTTATCGGCATGGATGTTCGCCTGCATTGGCCTGTACGGCATGTCTATGGAGGATCTGCAGGCAAAGCCGCTCAGTGGCTGGCGTAGGTAAGACACAACCCAAATACACACACACACGCACATAGCTACATTAAACATTTAATCTCACTTGTAGACATATGCAGTACTGGACAGCGCGTGCCATGCGAATGGTGTACACATCCGGCTCGTTTCTCTATATCCAAACGAAGGGCACACCGGCCACCGCCAGGGAGGCACCCATTTTGGTTGTGGCGCCTCATTCTTCCTACGTTGATTCCATTTTGGTGGTCTCCGGACACCCGCCCTCGATTGTGGCGAAGCGCGAGACGGCGGATATACCGCTGCTGGGTCGCATCATTAATTATGCTCAGCCCATTTATGTGCAGCGCGAAGATCCTAACTCTAGGCAGAACACCATACGTCATATTGTCGATCGTGCACGTTCCAGCGATGACTGGCCTCAGGTGGTCATCTTTTCCGAGGGCACATGCACAAACCGCACGGCACTAATTAAATTTAAGCCCGGCGCCTTCTATCCGGGCGTGCCCGTACAACCAGTTCTGCTCCGCTATCCCAACAAGTTTGACACCTTCACCTGGACCTGGGATGGGCCGGGCGTGTAAGTGTTGAAAACAACAGCATACTTTCGAGCTCCAGCTAACGTGTTCTTCTTGCTTTGTGCACAGCCTGCGTCTGCTCTGGCTAACAATGACACAGTTTTATAACCGCTGTGAAATCGAATACCTTCCCGTTTACACGCCTTCCCCAGCTGAGATGGCCGATGCCAATCTCTATGCGAACAATGTACGAGAAGTAATGGCCAAGTGAGTTCTGTCCGATTGAATGATTGATCATTCGAGCTAATGACACTATTGTAATATCTTATAGGGCATTAGGAGTGCCCACGTCCGATTACTCATTTGAGGATGTCATCGTTATGAGTCGTGCTCGTGAAATGAAAATTCCATTTCCTGGTGACATTGTGGAAATAGAGCGCACCCTCGATTTTCTTGACCTCTTGGATTCGAAGCGCGACATGGAACTCTGCGAGATGTATCTAACGCTTACTAACACAGACAAACTGGACATTATCACATTTGCTGAGCTTCTCCAAGTGGATCTCAATAATCCCAATCTGCACAAGCTTTTTGCGCTACTGGATCATGTAAGCGTATGACCAAATGTGCGATAAAAACCATTTTCTCTTATCCTCTGTATTTTAATATAGCGTCGCAAGGGCACAGTGTGTCTGAAAAGTTTTTTGCTCTGCTCGCTGTTTTGTAAACTAAAGAACAGTGACGTCATAACGTTTTTGCGCGCACTGATTAAAGTAAGTCTGCCCCAAGCAGCGTTGACTTTATAATCCTTCTGTATTTTCTATTATAGCTGTATAGTGAATCGAGTCAAAAGATAGACAGGGAGAGCTTCACGCGTTTGTTGCGGCATGGCGGCGACAAGCTGAATGAGAAAAAGGCGCAGGCACTTTTCTTTGCGCTGGACACCGCCAATGTTGGCCACGTCTCCTTCGGTTCGTCTTGGAGTTTTAAAGATTCGGTAGTTCTAAAGATTTTTCAAATAATTTTTTGTGTATATTGTCTAGATATGTTTGCGCAGTACACGGAGAAGCAGCCTAGCTACAAGTTTCTCTATCACAAGTCGGAGCACATAAGACGGACAAAGAGCAATGTAATCACGGCCACGCCCACAGCAAACTGAAAAAACCGCAACAATGCATTTGGAGGCTGCAATTAAACTTAAAAAGCTGGTTCTATACTTATTCAGAGCTGTGCCATAGTCAAGTAACCGACAACAGGCAACACGGCAGAGAAAGAGATAGCCAGAGAGAGAGACAGAGGGATAGTAAGCAAGATAGAGAAGAAATGTGTAGCACAGTCAACCTAAGCAAAAAGTTCAATTATAATATATAATTAATTTATTTATTGTGTACGTGTTTGTTGCCTACTGTAATTAGAGTTGTATAGCTTGAGAAGAAGAGAATTGTTATTCAGGCAGGTCCAATTGAGAACTTTGCTAAATTGCAAATGTGCAAGCATAAATATAAACAAATATATTTATATTTACTGTCTGCACATAACTTTAAATAATTACCTTTATGTGTACTTTAACTCTTAACGCAATTCATTTCATTATTGTGATTCTAATTATATATATAACTATATATATATAATATACATATATATATATATATATATTTTAATTATACACTATACATGTTATGTTGCCAAGTGTGCACACTCATATTTCACAAATTAGTTTGGTCGTCTAACCTTTTATATATATGAGATTATACTGGGACACTCAGGTGTCTACAGCTAAGCCAGTGAATGTAGCTTCTTAAATATTACCCAATGCCAAAATCTTAACACATAATGTAAATGACAACCAAAAATCGGAATCGGATCTTCACTTCAGTTTTTACCTTTTCAATGCAGTTCTTGAGTTCCAATCATGTATATGGTTTCGGGCATATTCTTGCTTAGTTAGTTTTCCATAGACATACATATATATGTATATATATATACAAGTATATTTCTTGTGCATTTGTAAACGTAAACACCAAATAGACTTTTGGACACGACTTGTAGCGTCCTCAGCACCCGATATATAATAGAGTCTAGCTGTACTTAATTCATCCAAAGACACAAGGAACTAGCATCAAGCAACAGATGTAAACACATACAATCACACACATGCATGTACACACCCACACACACACACACACGTTTATACATAGAATCTGGTCTGTTATTTAGAAATTTATTGGTAAAAATTTTATAAAATGCTACAACTTCGATACACACCGAAGCTTTTATGCTCTTTCCAATGGCGGTTAACTTACAAATTTAGTAAACAAAAATACTCAAAAAATAATTTCTTTTTTTTTATATGCAACTTGAAATACTAAAAAATAATTGTATTAAATAAATACAAAATTTCTATTAATATTGAAATCCTTTTTTTCATTTGTTAAATATTTGATGTGATTTAATAATAACTCAAGAGTAATTGATTTAAAAGTTATATTATATAAACATTTAGCTTGAGATCCGTTTAACTAATAGCACACAAAACTAACGCAATTTTAGCTAGTTTAACCTAAGATTAAGATAATATGGGAAAGAGCATAATGATAGGCGTTGATCGGAATATGAGGTACGTGGGGAAATGGCAACCAAACACTCAGCTCCATAATTTTACATTTGAACTAAGCTTAAGCAAAGCACCCATACATTAAACTCCTATATTATAGTGTATACATCTATGAACCAACAACATATATATATATATGTATATATATATATATATATATATATATATAAAAATATTTATATATGTGTATGTGCTACTATACCAGATATTATTAGCAAGCGGTTTGATAAATATGCTCTGAAATAAATGTGTACCTTTTAAGTAAAAACAAAATATAGAGGGTAACCGTCTTGTCGTACTACGGGGTCAATTTCTGGCTATCATTGGTGGGCGTACACCATGCGGCATGTTGCAGCGCGGCGCAGAAACGCCCCGCAGCTGACGTCGCGGGCAGCGAGCGCCGACATCGACAGAGTTTTATTCATAGTCAAGCCAAGTGAACGTGCCGCAGGATCTGGGATTATTTATTTTCTTCAAGTATTTAATTTTAATTTTCTGTGATTTGAATATGTGTGCAAACGGTTGCGTGAAGCATGTTTAGACGCATAGGACACATCCAGATGCAGCTGCAGTTGCAGCTGCTTCTTCTGCTGCTCCTGCTTTGCCCTGTGCACATGTTTGTCAACTCGTAAGTAGCGCCTGCTACTGGGCCCCAAACCGGTCTCAACTGGCATCCACTTGCAGGCCCAAGATCATCAGCAAGGATGGCAATCTGATTTTCGAGTCTGGCGCCAATCGCAACATCAGTTTTCGACTGAGCGGCAGCTCGCGGCTGATCATCAATGAGGAATACGATGTCCTGGAGCTGCTGATGCCCATCAGTGGCAACAAGAAACGACCCACGGGCGCCGCCAAGGACGAGTGGAGTGGCGCCGATGACATTGCCGATCTGCGCGACCTGGCCGATCAGCTAACCGAGTTCCGATCCCAGGCACTCGGCGCCAATGGGCTAACCACCATTGCTCGTCTGCTTCAGAACAGGTTAGCGAAATACTTACCGTTAAAAATGTGTTGACAGATAGTTGATTGTTGGGATCAATACGGAAAAGTGGTGTGATATTCGGGTTCCGGTTTGAACCAGCTTCCTGCTTTTAGATTTGTTTACTAGTTTCCTGCGGTAATTTAGTCCATTTGGAACTTGAAGCCTTGGATTGAATATATTTGGAGCACGCGTAAAATAGTATATACATCAATATTCCAGGTTCACTTAAAAAAAATATGCTCTTTTTCACCCCGTGGACAGAGTATCTAAAATATTCAAATGAGTCTGTCTGTCTGCCGGAACGCGTCAATATCAGAAACGATTATAGCTAGGGTACATCCCTAGGGATGTTCTTGCGATGTTGGATGGATGTTCCTGGGATGTACGTTATATGTACGTGGAATGTTTGATGTACTTGGGATGTACATTGGATGTTCGTGCTTTGTACGTGCGGTGTACGTGGGGCTTATGTGTGTTTTATGTGTGATGTATGTGTGATGTTAGTGGGATACGTAAGATGTACCTATGATGTACGTAGAACGTATACGGGATCTGCGTGAGGCTTATGTGGGATACATGTGCGATTTTTTGATATTTTGTACAGAACACGGGCCAGCCGACTGCTGCAGCGACGCCTGCAAGGACGCCTCCGCAATGTGGAGAACAAGGTGCAGCGGCTGAAGGCTAATCTGGAGGTGGACAGCTGCCACAGCAATCCCTGCGAGAACGGTGGTACCTGCTTCAACACCTACCGCGGGTATCGTTGTCAGTGCGGCGCTGCCTTTGAGGTAAGGCATGGGGTGTCCGAGTGGCAGATGCAGATGCAGATGCTGACAGCTGCTCTCAATTTTTCGCATCCTTCAGGGCAACAGGTGCGAGCGGGATGTGAACGAGTGTGCGCTGCTGGAGGGCACGGATCTGGGCTGCCAGAATGGGGGCCAGTGTGTGAATCAGTTTGGTTCTTTTTCGTGTATGTGTGCGCCCGGCTGGCACGGGATGCACTGCAGCCAGCGGAAAACGGACTGTGCCGCGGCGAGCACCTGGGAACTGTGCGGTCATGGCAGCTGTGTGTCCAGCAGCGATGCGCTCGGCTATCGTTGCATCTGTGAGCCCGGCTGGCGCAGCAATGGGCTGACGCCCACCTGCACCGAGGATGTCGACGAGTGCACGGCGGCCGCGCATACGCCTTGCTCCACCAATTGCATCAATTTGCCCGGTAGCTTCACGTGTGCGCCCTGCGCGCCAGGCCTTACCGGCAACGGCGTCAGCTGCCGAGACATAAACGAATGCGAGACAAACAACGGCGGCTGCAGCCTCAGCCCGCGGGTGCAGTGCATCAACAGCTATGGCTCCAGCCACTGCGGTGAGTGCCCCGTCGGCTGGACGGGCGACGGACGCAGCTGCCAACGCAACAGCAACAGCGACTCGCCCAACGGCAGCCCGAATGCCGTTGGCCTCACCAGCTGCACACAGCGCGCCTCCCTCTGCCATCCTGCGGCCATCTGCTCGGAGATTTCGAATACGATCATCTGCAGCTGTCCCATCGGCATGGTGGGCAACGGCTACGGCGAGAATGGTTGCCTGCGCGGCACCAACAACAACTGCAACGATCTGCCCTGCTTGGTAAGTATTCAGATGGACCTGTTGGCATATCACATGGGAAACCTTTTATTCGGAGTGTCGAACCACTCCTCTGCCTATAATAACGAGAAGGAAGGGCAATCTTTGGCACGCCGAAGATTTAATACCCTTGCAGACCCAACCTTTTCATAATGCTAATAGTGCTTTGCCTATATCTGAGAAGCACAGGGAAAATAATTAATGCCGAGTATGGTTAAGAAATCTTGAAAAACAAAAAGGTTTTCATACAACTTTATTTTAGACCGATCGTTCCTAAAGAAGTTATATGATATAGTGGTGCAACAGAAAGAGGAACTTCTGCAAAGTTTCATAAAGATATCTTTAAAACTGAGAGACTAGTTCGCATAGAAACAGACAGATGGACAGGCGGTTGATACTGATCAAGAATATATATACTTTATGGGGTCGGAGATATCTCCTTCTATGCGATACACATTTCACGACAAAATTATAATACTCTCTGCAAATAAATCGATTTTCGACCGATCGCTCCCATGGCACATATATATAGTATTCAGATATTGATGTGAGTACTTTGTCCGGATCACAATGCTTCCCCTAATTAATGAGTTTGATCCCGAAATTTTGGAAAACTCGATGGTTTCTATGACCCTATATGATATAGTGAATCGATTCGCTCGGGGTTGCCCGCTTTAGAAAGTAGGATATTTGTCAAGTTTCATGAATATTGACTTAAGGACTCGACAAATCGCATAGTTGACTGGCTAGTTGGATACACATTTCGTGACGATATATAAAATATATCTATATCCCGAGCATCAATCTTGTAACTGGACAGATGGATAGACGACCAGACAACCAATATTCAATACATAAATATACATATATATACTAGCGGGTGTTGCCCGGCCTTGCCCGTGGAACGTTTTGTGCTAAACATTTTAGATATTACCTTTCCACTAAGTACACGCCCGTGTAAAACTCAAATGTACCCATCTTGATCTCCACTTCTATTTAAAAATATGTAAGAGGCTGAAGAGTAAACTTTCGTCTATTAAACCCTTGACCCGCATTTGCCACCCAAGAACGTATCAAATAAACTCCTACAAAGGCCTTGAAAATGATTTCGAAGTCAATTGGATGGTAAACATAAAAGTTTCATACAATCGTTTTTCGCGATTCCGCCCCCTAAATAATTATAATGCAGCATCTTCATGTGGCTTTGTCTCGGCACCAGTCCATCCCAGCCTTGGTCGACCCTTCGAAACCCCGATTCTGTCCAGCGCCAAACAAGCCACGGATCGACATAGTCAAGTTTATCTTTTGAGATGAATTGAAGCCAGAAACTTGGAATATACATGTATACCTCGAAAGCAGGACATGTCGGTCGGTACCCTAATCACTACGTGAGGGTTTCAGTTTCAGAGTAAATAGCCTCAATCAGAAAGACATCTTTTCCACCAGTTTGTAGCATACAGGGTATTGAGCAGTTGGGCAATGCCGACTGCAAGCTTCTTAACTTTCTTGGTCTCATTTATGACAGAATGGAGGCGTCTGCATGGATGCTGGTCCCTCAAACTATACGTGCATTTGCCAGCGCGGCTTTCATGGGCCACGCTGCGACCCGCTGCCCAATCCGTGCACATCGCAGCCCTGCCAGAACGATGGCCGCTGCAGCCCGACGCCGACAGCCGGAGCCGGCGACGGCTTTGTTTGCCAGTGCCAGCCGGGCTATCGGGGTCGGCTGTGCGATGTTCGCTTCAGCAGCTGCAATGCGATGCTGTCCGGGCTGAGCGGACGACTCCGGTATCCGCCGGCGGGCAACAGCTATGAGCACAATGCGCAATGTGCCTGGGTGATACGGACAAACGAATCGCTGGTGCTGAATGTGACATTCCACAGCTTTCATGTGGAGGACTCGACGGACTGCCGCTTCGATTGGCTGCAGATCAACGATGGCCGCTCCGCGGCGGCGCAGATCATTGGGCGCTACTGCGGCAATCACATGCCGCATGGCGGGAACATCATCTCCTCCAGCAATCAGCTGTACCTATGGTTCCGCTC